GACCGCCTTCGGGGCTCTGTCTTATCTCATCTCATCCGCACAGACGGGGGCCGCCATCGACAACCGTTGGGAGCCACTGCAGACGCCAGGCAGGTGCGCGATGCATGTGAGGTGCTCCGCACGGGACAGGTTCGCCTCGCGAGCCATGTGCGCCACACTATATCTGCCTCCCACCGTCGCTGTCAAAAACAAATGCAAAGTGACGATGGGTTTGCGAGCCCTGTGTGTCGCGTGTGGTGCGTCCGAAGTCACGTTGCATCCGTTTCTGACAGGGAGAGTAGGCCCACACGCAGCAGGTAGCGTGCCGTCCCCCCACAGCCGCCCCCTGTCAAAAGCCAGTGCGCTGTGATCGCTGGGCGTCCGCGCATGATCCAGATTGCACTTTGTTTTTTGGGGGGCCAGGCATTGTTGGGGAGTGTTGGCATTGCGCGCAGCAGGTTGTATGCCGCCCCCCCCCGCCGCCCCTGCCAAAATCCAAAGTCGAAATGCTCACGGGGCGTCCGCCCAGAATCCAGGTTTTGGTGCAAAGTGTACTTCGTATTGTCCGTTGCAAGGGATGGTCGGGGGGGGTCGGCATTGCGCACAGCAGGCGAGATACCGCCCCCCACGCCGATCCTGGCAATAACCGATGCGAAGTGATCGCGGGGCTTCCGCGCACGATCTAGATTTTGGTGCAAAGTGGGTTGTGCATTGTTTCTGTCAGGGATGGAGGGGGGGGGATGGGGCCGCACTGTCCAGGGTTTGTCGCCGGTCGGGTGATGCATGTTAATAGGAGCAGTGGTCAAGACACATCTCCCAGACGCAACCTGTTTTGCTCGCTCCCACCCGCCCCTCCCAACACATGAGTATTAGCCAGCCGCCCTACGGTTGATCGGGAGTTTCTGTAGATGGGCGTGCGCTCCCCGGCGAAAGGAAAATGATCGAGAGGAGAATGGACGTGAGGATCAGGAGGGCGAGGTTCGCGAGGGGGAGGATCAGGAGAGTGAGGGTCACGCGGGTGAGGATCAGGCGAGCGTGGAGCAGGAGGGTGACGATGTGGAGGGGAACCAGGAGGGCCAGAAATGGTCTCTGGGGGGGGCGCTGGGGGCCCGTGGGGCGATGTTGCGAGGACGTCTCGAGCGAGAGCGCCGGACGGGGACGCGCCCAGCGCATCGCCGGGAATGGTCCCTTCTAGGGGTGCGCTGGGGGCCCGTGGGGCGATGTTGCGAGGATGTTGTCTCGAGCGAGAGCGCCAGATGGGGACGCGCCCGGCGCATCGCCGGAAATGGTCCCTGGGGGTACGTTGGGGGCGAGGATGTCTCGAGCGAGAGCGCTGGATGGGGACACGCCCGGCGCAGCGCCAGAAATGGTCTTCGGGGGTGCGCTGGGGGCCCGTGGGGCGATGTTGCGAGGATGTCTCGAGCGAGAGCGCCGAATCGGGACGCGCCCGGCGTATCGCCGGAAATGGTCCTTTCTGGAGGTGCGCTGAGGGCCCGTGGGGCGATGTTGCGAGGATGTTGTCTCGAGCGAGAGCGCCAGATGGGGACGCGCCCGGCGCATCGCCGGAAATGGTCCCTGGGGGTACGTTGGGGGCGAGGATGTCTCGAGCGAGAGCGCCGGATGGGGACACGCCCGGCGCAGCGCCGGAAATGTTCCCTGGGGGTGTGTTGGGAGGCGATTTTGTTGCTTCTGGGAACCACTACGGACCCCAGGTGCGCGACGCTGGGACGGGGGGCGCTACGCGTGCCAGGCGAGCCACGCGCACTGGGGCCCAAGTGTGCCAGGCACGCCTGGAGCGCGAGATGCGCCACGTGCCCCACGTGCGCCAAGTGTGCCGCATGCTCCAGCCGCGCCAGGTGCACCACGTTCGGGGCACGCGCAGCGTGTGCCAGGTGCGCCCGCGCACATCGGGAAACATGGCGCCCCCCGCCATCCTTGCCGAAAGCCAATGCACAATCGCGGCGGAGTGGCCATCATGATGTCTAGTGCGCCTTGCGCCTGCGCGCAGCAAGCCAATGCCAACACCCCTGCCGTCCCTGTCAAATACCAATGCAAAATGATCGCGGGATGCCCGCGCAGGATCCAGACTTAGCCGCGAAGTGCAGTTTGTATTGTTCTGTCGGCAGGGGTGGTGGCCCTGTGCGCAGTATGTCATTGGCTGACACCCCCGCCCCCCTTTCAACAAACAGTGCGAAGTGCTCGCGGGCCCCCCGAACATTACCCAAGATATTGTTGAAAAGTATTGTTTGCCTTGTCTTGCAGGGATGGGGGGGTGGTGCGCAGTGTCCTGGGCTTGTCGCTGGTCGGGCGGGGGAGGCGGTGTACATTGAGAAGGAGCAGTGATACACCCCTCCCTGAAGGGGAAGAAAGGGGTTTGGAAGAGTAAACTCGCTAAACCACCTCCGCCCAGAGGGCACCTGGAGGGGGGGGCCTCGTGGTGGCCTGTTGGGATTCTTGGGGCCGTCTGGGTGTGGATGAGAGGGCTGACTGACTCCGAGGCAAGAAGTTCCCGAGGTCCCCTCGAGCGGATCTTCACGGCCCCCAGGACGGCCCAAGAGACCCGATGTACCCCTCAAGAGGCTCCGAGGCTTTCCCTCATGCTCGACTACCAGGGCCGCCGATAACATACTGACTGCCCAATACGTGTAAAAGCACGGTGGTGGGCAGAATGTACAGAGAGCATGCAACGTTGGAGACGTCGTGCCGGCACTTCGCTTGGGCCAACTTGCGGTCTGGCTCGTGTGGCGTAGCCTTTCCCATCTGCGGTTTGGATTGAGACCTTTGGAGGTCACGTCATTCATCCACACGCATCCCCATACGTACTTTGCCCGTGTTACCGGATCTGACTGCGATCCGGGGTGCGGGCCGTTTCCAGCCATACGTTCGTTGCTCAGACAGGGTGTGTGGTGATGATGACGAGGAAGACGAGGATGACGATGGAGCAGAGGCGTGGTAGGGCTATTCTCTGACCCATTCGCTCTGGTAGCCGCTTGGGCCAGCTTGACGGCGCTGTTGCCCGCGCCCTGCTCATTCGCCCTCCCCCCCTCCCTCCCCCCCCGTATGCTGTGCCTCCTGCCCATCCTCGCCCTCCCCGCTGCATATCTGCTCCTCTCCCTCTCTCTCCCGTTCCCTCCCCGCTGCATCCCTTTAGTGGCCCCCTCCCTCTCCCTTCCTTCCCTTTCTTTTGTGCGACTCCGTGGGCCCCAGGTTCGAGGTTGGAACCTCGGGCGGTGAACCAGAATTCGGTGCAGCCTTGGGGTCAGCTTCCAAGGCGTGGTGGATCCTCCCTCTGACAGTGAGGATAGCCTCTGGGCCTCTACGGAGTGTTCCTTTTTTCTTTCCCCCTCCCGTCGTCCTTCACTCAGAGCACCAGCTTGAGGTCGTGCACCGGCGATGCTCCGGACTGCCGCTATAAGACCATTCGAGGTTGGGATGATGCTCCAATGTTTTGCCCTGCAGTCCAATCCTGGCCTCTCTGCCTTTGGAGCAGGACTCTGCAAGACATACCTCCGAATCTATAATCGATGTGCATTCCCTCGGAGCTGCTGCAATTCAGGATGATCAGGATGCCCCAAACAGTATCTAACATAGTGTTATATAGTGTATCTTGTTGAGCCATGTCTTCAGTATGGAAATCCGATGCGTTGAGAAACGTTTAGAGATGCTGGGCTTTTGATATGTTTCAGTATGAATGGATGCCTTATGAAAATGTTTACATACTGGCGCTGAAAGTACGTATTAGTGCGTTTATTTAGGTTTAGGTACGGCGGTTATGAGCGCATGGAGTGTGAATGCTCAGTTGGTATAAATGGATACGTTCGGAGACGGTGCCCATCAATTGCCGTCCTCGCGACTCATCGTCCTCCTGCCTTTTCGTTTTCTTATCCGCTCCGCCTCGCTTGCCCTCGCTATGGAATTTCCTTGTCGTTTACAGATCACAATATCTTGTATAGTAAGCCATCGTCGCTCCTCCCCTTCCCCACCATCCTTCTTCATCCCTGGCTCGCCCCGTTCCTCCCCTTCCTCCCCATCACTCCCCCTCATCCCGAACAGGGGTGACGAGGCGGACGAGGAGCGAGGAGGGCGAGCGAGTCAGAGGAGGAGGAGGCGGAGGAGGAGGAGGAAGAGGGGGAGGAGGAGGAAGAGGAGGAGTGATAGTGACGAAGAGGATGGCGGTGATCATGATGAGGAGGAGTGGGAGGAGTGGAATGATGTTTCCGTTGCCATTTTGGCTCAAGATATGTTTCTTGGGTGTGGCAGCCCACTGCAGTGAGCGATCCTCCTGTCAAAACGAGGCGGACATACTCTACACACACTCCGCATATCCAACTCTCTTTCTCCCCATCCTTTCCTTTCTGCCAGGGCTTCCTGGCTCAATGAGCACAGCGGCCAGCAGTCCAGGAGATGACGCCGCCGCGGCGCAGGGCGGACGCCGTTATGGAGGCTCACGCTCGCCGATTCGGTCTCCTTCCAAGTCTGATGGTGCTGAGCTGCGTGCTCGCGCGGATAACACCAGGCGAGAGATCATGGCCCGCATCGAGGCCATGCAATGATCCGTCTCGGCCATCGGCACCCAGGTCACTGAGTGCTTCAACGGCCTCGACAAGAGCGTCCACGAGCGCTTCGGGGCGACCGAGGAGAGGATGGACACCGCCGAATATACGCTCGGAGTCCTCAAACTGGAGATCCAGGCCCTCAGGAGCGAGCTCAATTACGTCAAAACCTCCATCTCCGAGGCTGGGACTACGGTGGCCAATAGGGACTTCGAGCGCGACATCGACCCGAGGATATTGGTTAGTAGATGCGCACACCTGGTCATTAAGGAAACAGTGGAGGCTGCAGTGTCCCCTTGGCTCGGAGATGCAAATTGGGAGCCTGATAGTTGACTATTCCAAGGTGAACCAGCCTCGAAGCGTTTCACCATCAACTGCCGTGGAGCTGCTGGATGGGCTGCGCGTCGTGTGGGCCAAGTTATGGGCGCCCTCCGACTTCCCGATGGGCAGTGCCGTCGATTCAACAGCATGTCCACCACTAACTCGCCGTCCGAGCTGTTCGTATCTACGGACACGGGCCCGTGCCAGATCAAAAAGGGTATTGCCGTCAAAACCATCAAGCGCGTGGTTTCGGAAGCTTACCTGTCCGCGATATTCTTTGTCGACCGCCGCGCAGGAGTTGTATCAAGCCAGTGGAAGCCGCTCATCCGCGTCGCATCCAAGCCCGAGATCAGTCTCCCGACGCTGGAGTGGGAGAACACCAATGTCGTGTCCCTGGGCTTCAACCGCAGCGAATTGGAGCCTAGGGTCAATGATGCGTTTGCGGGGCCGAGTGCTGCTAGCTCGGCCTCGTGGAGCCTTTAGCAGTCTGTTCCGCGTTCTTGGAGGAACGCCGCTGCAAGCCAGATGCTTCTCTTTCAGTGCTTGGAATGCCTGCGCTCGATACCGCCATGACCCCTCTCTCGCCCATCTAAGCTCCTATATATATATATATATATATATATATATATAGTTCTCGGCTTCTGCAACCCAGCGCGATAATTGCCTTCCGGGAGACGCAAGGAACGATGTATGATCTGTCTGACTTCCTCTACCATTCCAGGAACTTCTACTCTAGCAAGGGGAGCTTCACTGACTCTCGAGGTCGCGGGGGCGTGGTCACCATCTATCCTGCTCTCGCTGCTGCGAATGGCTTCCATCCTGATGCCGAGTGCGAGATCGAGACTACGATTTCAGGGCGTGCTCCGCACTGCATTTTCAACTTGGGACCATCGCCGCACGACCCCTCTATCCCTTTCGTCATCTCCCACTTCGATGTTCACAGTTTGGGGCTATTCGCTAATCAGATTCGGGCAGTTCCGGCAAAGACTACGGGCGAACTTGAGATGGCGAGTCGGAGACCTGAGTCGTACATCCTCAGCCTGCAGTGCCTGCCGCCAATTTTATCCCGCGCGCTGGACTTGCCCAGTGGCGACGCTAGCGCAATTCTGGATGGCGCGAGGTTCTAGGCAGAATGGTGGAGATGGAGAGCCGTATCCAACGCACTATAATGATATTTTGGAGCACTCTTCGGTAGTCGGCAGGATTTTCACCAGTCTCCCTGGGCATTATCTCAACTGCTTGCAGGTCGATGTTTCGGTCCTGGGGCTTCTTGAAACTGTTGAACAGCGTGGGAGTTCTGACCATGCAGCTCTCGTAGTCCACCTTCGCCATCGAGGGCCCCCTGCAGTCTCCGCTAGGCCCATCCCGGAGGAGCTGTTTAGACACCCCATGTTTGCGCAGTTCGTCCAGCAGCGCGACGTTGCCGGCCTCGCCCCGCCCCTGAAGCTCGAGCTCTGCAAAACGGTGCTTCGAGAAGCGGCTAGGCATGCGCGCGGCGCCCTCCTCGCGAGCGCCCCGACAGACCCGCTCTCGAAGCTTATCCTGATGAGATCTATGTGTCGAGCTGTGTGGCGTTGTGATCTCCCCCCTGCTCAGCGACTCTACCAATGTCATTTTGCTCGTGACCTCCTGGGCATGGACCCCTGCTTCCCTCGATTGCCCTGAAGGGCCCTCAGAAGTTCTCAGAGATGCCGGGCGCGCTGCAGTTTCAGGGCGCGGAGCGGGAGATGAGGCTGACGTCGGGTCGGACGCAAGCCTCGCCCTCCGAGCCCACCCGTGCGACGCTCAGGATGCGTCTGCGAAGGCGCGTTCGCAGCGGCGGTTTGTGGCCACCTTTCGACCGGCGCCTGCAACTCGTAGGGGCGCGCGTGGCTGGCGCCATCCTGACCTCCCAGGATCAGATGAAAGGTGCGATCCCCTCTCGCTGGAGCCCGGTCTTCTCCTCCAAGCCCGTGGACCGTCATGCTGGCGATGTTTATCAAGGACGTTTCGGGCCTCAAAATGATGTTCGAGACTTCCCCCCGCCCTCGGTTTCAGGACTTGGATAAGTACGTGGATCGTCTCTCTGATGGCGCCCCTGGGCCCGATGCTGTTCCTTGCAGTGTCCACCAGAAAGCCCCTCTACGCTAAACAGATCTTGTTCGAGGCCCTCTCTCGGCAGCTTGCGGGGCCCCCTAGGCTTTTTGACTGGAGAGGAGGGCGCTGATGAGCTCAACACCTGCATCAGAGATGCTGCTGGACTGCGGCCATCAGGACTAAAGAACACCGACAATCAACTAACCGCTACCGTAACATTCCTCAGGCTATATGGCAGCATGCCACACATTGCTGCCCCCCCCGAGAGGATTTTCCCATCAAGAATCAAGAACATTTGGCAATAACATCGTCGAGTTAGATTGCCACTGCAGGATCTTCTCCATGGCCTCCTCGGCTCTCAGTGACCTTCCAGCGTTGGTCAGTTCTGATTTCGCCCAGGCCTTCCGCAGCCACGGCCATGAGCGTATTCCAGAACCCTTGAAGCTCTTTGTGGTGACGCTCTACACTGATGCGCTGTGCTACGGCGCCTTCGCGTCGCCCATGGCGTTCCTCTTCTTCCAGGGGCGCGGCGTCATTCAAGGGCGCCCGGCGTCTGGCGCGCAGTTGGCGGTGGCGACTGGCGGCTTCTACCAGGGCACGGATGTCTAGCTGGCGAGATTGCGTGCTGGTTTGGCTCGTGCCTGTGCTGGCGACGTTGGCACAGCCTTTCGTCGCCCGGCGTTTCTGAAGATCCGCCGCCGCATCTTCAGCGTTGTGGGGCGCATCGCCGCGCTCAAGCTGAAGACGAACAAATGCAAGGTCGTGCCACTGGCCGCGGCCTCCCCGGAGGAGCTCGCGCGTGCGCATGCTGAGTGGATCCGCGCTCGCATTCCCGCCTGGGCTGCTTTTGAGGTCGTTGATGTTTTGAAATGCATAGGCTTCTGGTTAGGCCCTGCCGCCTCGATGCGCTCGCGGCGCGCCCCCGTCGCCAAGTGGCGGGGTCGCTGCTCGAGACTTGCGAGTCAGAACGCCCCGGCGGCCCTCGCCGCCCAGGTTTTACGAAGGCCGCGTGGCCATTGTGCTCCCTTCTGTTTCATTATTCCTGCCTCTTCCGCTCGATGTTGTTCGCCGGGAACCAGCTCTGTCTGCGAAACTGTCTCGGGCCCCTCGCAGTGCCCCCCCGCGGGCCGGGCGGTCTGCGCTCGCCCGATGTGGGGGGGGGGGGGGGGGCAGAAGTCGCGAGCATTCTGGCCGCTTCGACCGCTGCTCTGATCAGGGCCAGCTGGCTGCATTCAACTGTTTGACAAGAGCGCCTGCCTGCTCTCCAGGACGCAGCTGAGACGGAGCTGTCGCTCGCCGCGGGGGTTCATGCTCAGAGTTTCGCCCCGCCCTTCTGGCAGCTCCCATCCTTTGTCGAATTTCTTGCTGCGGCGTCCGCTGGCTTCCCTTCTTTGATTGTTCACCGTGCTGAGCTTGTCGCGTCTGTTCCTCGTTCGCAGATCCCGCTGGCCGCCGCTGCCCGCGCTGCCATCTCCTCTCTCTACGCCTAGCTTCAGGATGCACGGCCGGATCAGAAGTCTAAGGTTCAACGATATATGAAATTGCAACCGTCGCACGAATTGCACGACATAGGTATTGCGGTTGTCTTCGCCTCTCGGTTGGCCTTCTGGATCCACGTTGATGCTGCGGTTATTCGCAGCCTGCCCTGGGGCGAGGTTCGGGCTGTCCCGGCCAGAACTCCCGTCGCTTTCGCGATGGCTGTGCTGAAAGTTCCGATGGGGGGATGGACGACTAATCGGCGGTTTCAAGAGACATCCCCGCGCATGCTCGGTTGCGGTTGCGGCGAGGATGCTCTCTCGCACTATCATGTCTGCCCCCTCGTTCGTGCTCATTTCGCTGTTGGGCTCCGTCTGGATGCCGCTGTCTTCCTTCGCATCTCTGCGCTTGGGCGGCTCGGTCTCGCCGCCCCATCTCGCGCCTCTCTCCGTGCTCCTGCAGGCGCGTCGATTCTGCGCAATTTCTTGAACGCATGCAAGGTCCGTCCGATCCCGCTTGCGAGGGTCGCCGAGGTGCTGCCTGCGGCGCGGCGCGGTGGGCATTAGAGCGGCTTGGATAAGGAAAGGGTCCGCCTGTGGCCACGTGCGAGGAGCGCAATGATGCCGCGGATGAGGAACAATGCGATCATGCAGGGGCATAAGCACTGAGAGGGGCACCAGGGAGGTGGATGAGTGGGATACGGAGCAGGGGGCGGAAGAGCAAGAGCAGGAGCTGTGACGATGAGTGCTGGGGGAGGAGGAGGCGGAAGAGGAGGAAGAGGAGGGGGAGCGATGTGACGACTTATCTGGGAAGATTACGTAGATGCGATAGACATGCTGCGGCGTTGCGGCAACGTCGCTGTTAATAATAATGCATGTATGTCTAGCGCCTGCGCGTGCGTGATCTTGGGGGCGGGAGAGTGCCGCGGGCCTTCGGCTCAAATATTATGGCAGGAGTTTCTCTCCCGATGGGGCTTCCTGATCTCCCGTCCCTCTAGTGTCTCCAGTGTGCCGCCATTCGTGGGCTGGAGCTGGCGGCGCTGCGGCAGGCGGTCCTCTCGGCGGTCCCGAGCTGCCCCCTTGTCTCGCTGGCGTGCCCGCCTGCGAACTGCCCCTGCCCCGCGGCCTCCTGCCCGGTGCCCGCGCGCGCGGCGCCGCTGGTCAACCTGGCCCGCCCTCCGCTCGAGGGCTACGCGGGCCTCGACTCGGAGCGGTTCGATGCCGAGAAGGGCTCGTTCTGCGGGCTGCTGGGCGCGGTCGCGGGCGCGGCTGCCACCGGCCTCGGGCGTCGCCGCGGGCGCCAGACCAGGGGCGGAGAGACGCTCGAATATCGTGCTCGTCAGCAGGTGGGATTGCTCAGGCTGAGGATTGGCGCGGGCAGGTGAGAATATTTCTACCAGGTGCGATCTCCCTGGGGCCCCGCTGTTCCACGAGAGGTTGGTCACGGGTTTGAGCCTCCTCGTGGCCCCTGGCCCAGTGGCCGCTCTGACGGCGGATGGCGACCGCTGCGCCGAGGGCGCGCGCTGCGATGACGCGGCCGACGCGCGCTGGTCTGGCGCTCGGGGAGCCGCGCCCACAGCGGGCCCGCAGCAGGTGGGCCGCTTCAGGCGGCTGCCCACCGCGGCAGAACTCGAGCAGCTCAAGCGCGGCGGTGCCTTCATGGTCGGCGGCGCCGCGCCCGCTTCTCCCGGGGCTGCTGGGGCTGGAGCCGCGGGCGCAGCGGCTGCCCCAGCTGGCGCTGCGCCTGCGCGGCAGGGTGGCGAGGCTGGAGTGGTGGCCCGCGCGGGCGCCCACGCTGCGGCGCCAGTCGCTGCCCCGCCGTCTGGCTGGCCACGGAGGGCTTCCGAGGCTCGCGGCGGTGAGAGCGGCTGCCCGTCCCGCTCCCTGCGAACGCCGTCGTGGAGGGCGACGCTCCTCTGGTGCCAGTCGTGGGCGGATTCGTCACTGCCCGCTTGATGCCAGCAAGTGATGTGGATGCCTTCGTGATCGACGATCTCAGGGCGCCGCCCGTGACAACCGGGGGGGGTCGAGGCGCCGACCGTTTACGGAGGCAGTGGGCTTCCAGGTAGCCGACGAGCCCGAGGGCGGCCTCAGGCTGGACGGGCTTCCCTCTTGCCCCTGGCTCCTTCGCTCGTAGCGCGACGCTGGTCTCGCCCCGGTGACTCACTGCTCCCAATGGCTGCGAGCAGGTCGGCTCCCAGACGGAGATCGCTCGATTCACAAGCATGGGGCTATCTGCAGGGTATTGGACTCGATGATCAGCGTGGACCAGCTCAGCGCACCCGCGCTTCAGAGCGCCGAGCTGCTGTGCCGCTACTTGCAGCTCATCGAGGATGCTCGCGCGGTCTCGCCCTCGGCCCCCGTCTACTTGGCGGCCGACGAGTGCGTGGGCTGGTCGGCGCGCCGCGGTGGGTCCGCGGTGGCTCCGCAGCTGCAGGAGCACGTCGCCGCCAACCTGCGCGACAAGGCCGCGGGGTTCAAGGGGGCCGGGAAGGCGAAGGAGGAGCTGAAGCTGCGCCGTGGCCCCATCGGCGGCGGCAAGGGCGGCCCCGCCTACTCGGGGGGGCCGGGGTCGCGGTGGCCCCGCGCCGCGGGAGCTGGCCGACCCGCGGCTGCCATCATGCCGAAGACGGACGCGTCGCACGATGCTCGCTGTCCGATGCAGAGAGCCTTCCTTCCGCTCCAGGCAGCGACAGATCGCCGGCGCGATCTCATCCCGTTGCCATGCAGTCAGCCGACGCCGCCATCGCAGGGGCCAGTCTCAATTTCTACGCAACAGTTCGCCAATGATGCGGTTGCAGGTCTCGACTCCCGCGTGAGCAGCACGGGCAAACCACGTCGGATCAGCGCCTCGCAGCTGCCGCAATTGCGCACCAGGTCAAGACGGCCCCATTCGTCTGCCATCTCTTACTCGCGCCGTGGAGCCGCTAAGGAGTTCCTGGCCAGCAGCCTGTCCTACGCCGGGGGCGAGGCACCGAGCCCCGTGGTGAAGTGCGTCAGATCCCGAGTAGACATCCCAGATGTGGATGCAGCCGCCCCCGCGGTCGATTCGGCGCTCGACCCGATCGGGAGGGGTTGCGCGCTGGGCTACGAGAGCAGGATGATGAAGGCACCTGACGAGCAGTCAAGGGCCCTCGACTCGGAGCCGCCCGTCACTCCGCACATGGATGAGGTTTTGAAGTCGGACCCCTGCGCCTACCACCTGCTCATCGCTGACCCGGTGAAGGCGAACATGCTGGGGTTCACCTACCGCCCCAAGGACTTGGCGACGCCCTTCTTCGTCGCAAAGAAGAGCAGAGCCCAGAGGCTGGTCTGGGACGCGCGAGTGCCGAACAGGAGGTTCCGCGTGCCACCGCCCGTGTCTATGGGGGCGTCTGCGGCGCGCGGGCGTGTCCAGCTACCTGGCGACCGCGATGGCGCGGTAGCTTGCGCCGCGAAGCTTTACTGCGCGCAGGCCGACGTCAAGAACTACGTCTACACTCTAGGGCTGCCGACTGAGATCGGGCTCTTCTTCTCGCTGCCACCCGTCTCCCAGGCCGCGCTCTCGCAATGGGGGGTTGGGGCTGTGGGCTCCCTGACGGCCCCCCAGGGGGCTGGGTCTGGCCGTTCCTGCGCGTCGCTCTGATGGGGTGGTCCTGGGCTTTCTGGCTGGGGCAGCGTGCCAGCGCGCGCATCTGCTTTTCGCTTCGGGTCTCGGGGTCCCCATGGGTCCTGGCCGATAGCGGCCCCGTCCCGCCGTTGGACGGTGGGGGGCCCTGCCTCCGCCCCTATTGCGATTGCATCAGCGTCATTGGCACCGACCCGGCTCGTTGCAATGCTTTGCTGAGCGCTATCTGTGCTGAGTGGAGGCGTCATGGAGTTCTCATTCGCGAGGGCGTGGAGGTGACTGGCGCCTTCGCCAGCCTCGGCCGCTTCATCGACCGCGCCAGCCGCCGCGTCTGCTGTCGCCTTGAGCGCCCGGAGCGTCCGCGTCAGGCATCGCTCTGGCCGGGGCAGCGGCCGCGAGTCGCGGGGGGGAGGCGAGGCGATTCACATTGGTCGTCCCATAGATCACATCATGTTGCGGAGGGAATTGCTATGTACTCTTCAGGAATTCTACGGTTCTTTTAAGAGACTCTTACAGCAGGCGTGCTCGGCTCTGGACTTCAGCTGCGTGCGGCTGCCGTGGGGCCCTGTCGTGGCGGTCGACGACGCTTGTCTCCCGGGCATGACCGCTCGCCAAATCGTCCTCCCCCTTTCGCTCGCCAGAAGCATCGGTTCAGTCGGTGGGAAATGGAGATGCAGGACGCCGTCGGCGGTGCAAGCTCGACGGTCCGCGTCGGGTCTCTTATCAGGGCGTCTTGGACGACTCGCAGCAGGAAGCCCTCGACGCATTTAGCGACGTCGCCATGGGCAGGCCCCCTGCGATCTCCGACAAGGACCTCCAGGACGACCGCTGGGAGCTCAACCCCGACTTTATTTAGGAAGGGCCCACCGCTATCGTGGAGGGTCGGACTGCAAACGTGACCTCCAGGCGCGCATTCAGAAGCCATGGGGCTTTCGGTAATCGACGCTTTCAGCTAGTGGGCAATCTCGGGGCGGCACTGGCCTTGGGAAGAGGGGGGTGCTCAGCCTATCCTCTGGTCTGTCGCCGCCGCGAGGATGATGCCTCGGCCGCTGGTTCAAAGATCGAGCGCCGTTGGGGCCCAATCAGAGTTCGACGCGGCAGATGGCGGGTCGAGGCGCTAGGGGCCGAGGTCGAGTCGTCAATCGCCTCGGCCCGGCAGCTCGCAAGCGACCCGCGGCCGACCGCCGCTAGGTCAGGGGGGTCTCCTGAAGGGCCGCCCCGTGATCGGGGCTTCGCGGGGCGAGAGGGGCGCAAAGCGCCAGGTGCCCTCGGGCCGTTTCCACCTGTTGGGCCCCAGCGAGAAGAGTTCCCCGGGGTGGATCGCGGTGGCTCCGCAGACGCAGGCGCATTACGAGGAGGCGCTGATCGAGTACAAGCGGTTCGCTCTCGCCCGCGGCTCCCCGCTCGTCGCAGCAGCGGGCGCCGACTTGGCGCTGGCCGCCGACTACGCCTGGAGCATTGGGCTCGAGAGAGCCGATCTGCTGAAATCCTATGCCGCGTTCATCTCGGAGCGCCCCGACTTTCCCCGAAAGGGCTCGCTCCGCTTGCCTCGATTCTCGAGGGCACTCCCGGGCTGGGGGCGCGCGGATCCAGGTCGGGCGCGATCGCCCATGCCATGGCAGGTCAGGGCCCTGATCGCCAGCTCGATTGCGACGGAGTTGGGGGCCCCCTATCGGCCTAGAGACCGGGCCGTCTTCCCCCCGAGCGGCTCGCGCGAGCACTGCGGTTTCGACCTTCGCCCCTCGGTCAGGGAAGCGAGCAGCGAATCTCTTGTGGTGCAATGTTCTGAGACTGTTAGATGCCGCTCTCGAGCTTGGCCTTCCCTTCTTGCTCGAGAGCCCCGCTCCTCTCGCCTGTGGCTCGTTGCCGTGCTCAGGTGACTACCGATTTGGAGAAGGCGGAGTGGGCTCGCGTTGATTTGTTCAGCATCGCGTTCCATGGCGCAATGCTGCTGCCGCCCTTTGGTTCAACTGGTCGCCTGCGTAGGCGGCGTTGGAACAGTGCGCGGGGGCACATTCCCGCTGCTGTCCTACAGGTAAGAGACACCTTGTGCTAAGAGGCAGGGATCCGAACGGAGTTTTCGGGACCACTAGGTTGAGCCCTTTTCAGTGCCGTTTTTTTATTTACATGCTCCGCGTGCGGATCCTGGTTTAAGAATGCAGGGATTTGGTACTAGATGCAACGATGGGCTCATGCGTGACTTCTTCATAAATTGAGCATGTATTAAAACATCATATTTTTTAATTCAAGCAAGAAAACCCTATGTATTAAAAACTGCCCTGTGTCCAGTGGAGGTCTGTCAGACTCTGGCGCGTCTGTTTGTGGCCCAGGCCCATGCACTTTCTTGAAGGCGGGTAGGGGTTCGAGGTCTTGAATCTCGTTCTCTCGTTCCGTCGCCTTTGCAGCTCGCGCTGCCGCGGCGCCCGCTCGCTCGTTCTCTGGAGTCTAATCGAAGCAGCGACCGCAGCAAAACGTGTTTCCTCGGACGCGTTTCGCGTCATCACGTCTCTTGGCACGGCTTAGCTCTAGGAGTTCATGTCTAGTGCCTGCGTGTGACTGATCTTGGGGGACGGTTTAGCTCCAAGGGTTCATAAAGATGTTCTCGCTCGCAATTTTGGATGCGGCCCAGCTGTTTTAGATTTGCTTGGGAACTATATGGCGAAGGCCTTACGGCCGTTGCCGCAGACCCTGAGAGCGACGAGGATACAAACGAGAGGGGGGGCATGGTGGAGGAGTTGGATGAGTGAGGAGCAGAGGGGGAGAAGGATGTGGAGGAGACGCAAGAGGAGGAGAAGGAGGCAGAGGAGAGCAGGAGGAGGGGGAGCAGAGGGGGTGATGATGAGGAGGAGGAGGAGGATGAGGATGAGGATGATGATGATGATGATGATGATGATGATGATGATGATGATGATGATGATGATGATGATGATGATGATGATGATGATGATGATGATGATGATGATGATGCTGATGATGATGATGATGATGATGATGATGATGATGATGCTGATGATGCTGATGATGATGATGCTGATGATGATGATGATGATGATGATGATGATGATGATGAGGAGGAGGAGGAGGAGGAGGAGGAGGAGGAGGAGGAGGCCTGAGGCTTTTTTGGGACAGCCTGTGGCTCTCCTGAGGCCGTTTTGGGCCGTCCAGGGCTCCTCCTTTTGCGCTGTGGCAGTTTGGGGGCCCCGCGCACAGACAGGAGAACCATATGCTAAAATGCACGCATCGAACATGTTCTCCTGGCGAAATAGATGCGGACGGCTCCCCGCTGAGGCCGGGGCGCGATCGCATCTCAACGCTTCTGAATTTTTGAATATGTCTTGCAGGAGGCTGGAGCGGTGCAACCTGCAAAAGGATTGGGCACGCTCTACCGGCATAGTCGTCCCTTGAGTGTACAGCTCTCGCATATTATTTGAGACGCTGCAAGAGTGCCCCTCGGCAGCAAAAACAACAAAGGGGATGGAGCGGTGCGCGGTGCGGAAAAGCTGCCTCCCGCCCTCCACCCAGGCCCTGCTGACCAGGTCAGGCTGGGCTGGGCTGGGTTGGGTCCGGCTGGGACGGACCTCCGCCCCCAGACATGATCGCGTCGCGCAAAAATCGGGACTGGGGGGTTTTTGGTAATTCTCAGCCTCGGGGGGCCCTCGCCGGGCCTCGGGGCCCTTGCAACACGAAGCAGGACGAAAAACTGGTCCCGGGGAAAGGCTCGGGGACGCCGTTCTGAAAAAATCAGGGCGTTGCATGTCTGGGTCCTCCTCTCCTTCCCTCATTCCTTCCCTCCCTGGTCCCGAGCCTGACTGGGCCCCCAGCGCGCTGGCATCCCTTGCTTGGAGTTGGGTTGGGGGACGAACGGCCGCGGGGGTCGGGGGCGGGTCGGGTCGGGCGGGGGGCTTTGGAGTCCGGGGCCCGCGCGTCGGGAGAGCGGCGAGGACATGATCGGATCCCTGGCCTGTCGCAGGTAGCGCGTGTGCGTGGGGTGCTGCGGGCAAAGATCCCACGATCCACAAGTCGCCTCGACGTCGTGGGAATCCTGGCCAGTGGGGGTCTCAATTGGCCTTTTCTGGGGTCGCGGGCTCGAGGCTGTTGACACGAACTCCTCGGTTTTTCCTTGCCGACCGGAAAAGAATGTATTGCCGCGCTTTTCAGAGTTCGCCCCTTTTCACCAGATTGTCTTACTGTGGCTTATGTCTCTCAAGCATCGCTGAGGGATGTTCTTCGCCCTCGTCCTCTGGGAGTTGGGGCCTATCTGCGACAGGCGAGGGTGTTCCGAACCCTGGTAGTTCTACGGGATTCCCAGGGGCCACTTCTCCAGCAAGACCCGCGCTTGGACTGACTCGGCGTTTCAGTAGCAACCAGGAAGAATTAAATATGTTGGGGGATGTGTTGATTTTGGGGTTGTGCGTTGTGTCGACGTGTCGATTTTGGAAGCGCGCGTTGTCTCAATGCGTTGATGGTTTTCGTGTCAAAAAAGTGAAGGTTTGATTGCGCGGAAAACAACCTTCTGCAAAATGCGTTCGTTGTTCAGTGTGGCGTTGGTTTTGGTTTTGCGCAGATCGTTCAAACATGTTGCAGTTGTTGGGAAATGTGTTGATGCGCGCGCGCTATGTTAGCAAATGTGTTGAAATGCCGCCAATGCGTCGTCAAAAACGTGGGTGCGTGAAAGCCGTGTTCGCACGCGCGTTGGTCGCTTGAACGCTCGATTTCCACAGTGCCAATCGGACCAGTTTTGAACGCGACGCCTTGCGCATCCGACAGTTTCGCCACCTGCGTGAAAACAAATCGCACATTTTCCAGCCAAGCAGCGCGCTCTCATGGCGCGCGGGGGGAGCACAAGCGGTCACAAGAGGAGAGTCAGAGGATAATTGAGGAGAAATACTAGGAATATTTAGGAAGAGGAGAAGGAGGAGGAGGAAACATGAAGGTTATGGCCGCCAACATTGCTTACATACAGAATGTGTTGTCTCTGCTCGCCTGAAATGTTTGTCGTGGGCGTCGTGGATTGGGACTCTGGCCGTCGGATCGTACTCTGGCCGTGGGATCCTTGACTCGACCCTGGGCCCCGGGGCCCTGGGGGGCCTTGGTATACTGAACTGAGCCGCTGGGCTCTGGTCGTGCGATCCTGGATTTCTTGTTTTTTGTTTGCGTGACCCTCTCCTCTCCTCAATCTCTGCTCTGACTCTGACAGTCACTGACGCTGCCGCGCAGCCGCCGCCATTGCCGTTGCCGTTATCGCTGTCGCCGTCGCCGCTGTTCCTCCCATCATGATCCCATTTGTTCGGGTCAAACGGCCCGGGCCGCGGGCCGGACCGTGCCCTGCCGCCCCGCCCCGCCTCTCTCAGCTCCGATTGTCCAGAGCCATGGGTTGGGGGAGCGCCCTGGACCCCTCCTCTGAGAGCAGCGACGGCGGCGGGGCGGCAGAGCCGCCACCTCTGCCGCCGCCGCCCCTGGCGGCGGCACCTCTGCCACCTCTGCCGGCACCCCTGGCGGCGGCGGCGGCGACGGCGGCGGCGGCGCCCTCTGGAGAGCCGCCGCCCAAGCGGCGGCGCGGGCGCCCCCCTGGCTCCATCACTGTTGGCAAGGCGGTCCGCGAGGCTCGCGCAGCGGCAGCGCGGGCCCCTGCCGCTGCAGCTGCAGCAGCTGCAGCGCCGAGGGCTCGCAACGCTCAGGGTCAGTACGCAGCAGCAGCACCAGCACCAGCAGCAGCACAACAAATAGTAGCAGCAGCAGCGGCACCACCACCTGCCAGTGTTTTCGCAGCGATGGCGAGAGCAGCGCGCCCGCTCCCGTCAGATCCTTAGATTATTCCTGAGGTTGTTTTTCTTGATGTTTGGATGGGGTCCTCGT